AAAAAAAAGGAGGGGTAGACAGCGATAGAGGAAGATATCCATCATCAACGCCTGGCCTCCACACATACACATCTACCCTAATACACATGTACACACACACACACACACACACACACACACACACACACACTGTAAACACAACTTTTCTTAATTAAATGAGATTAGAACGCAGATCTTCAGTTTCACTAGTCACATTTAAAGTTGCTACATAACCACACAGATATCAGTTTATGGAATATTTCCATTATCACAGAAAGTTCCACTGAGCAGCACGTTTCTAAAGAATTCCATGAATCTCTGCCTAGGGGATGGACCAGAAGCTCCATGGGTCAGGGATCATACCTGTATTGTTTCTTAACATGTCCCCAGCTCGGTGTTGTCAATTGAAACCTACACTTGACACTAGAAAGAAGTGGGTTGAATCCATGATCAACAGGACTTGATGTTAGGCCCACTTATAAGTCTTGGCCTTCATTTGAGCCCCTCTATCCTCGTAGATAAATTAGAAATCATATCCCTAAGACTGTCCAGGTCACAGAGAGGTGGTAGAACTCTTTTGATGTCTATGAGTTCCTTGCTCATCATCACTCTGATCCTCCCCAAGGATTAGGAAGGGTCCAGCCGCTGTCCATGGCAGCATGCTCCTCTCCCCATTGTATCCAAGGTGGGTGTCTTGGTCCATTTTGGTTACTGTAACAAAATGCCACAGGCCTGGTGGCTTTTACTGTAATCAACAACAACTACAACAAAAGTTGATTTCTCACAATTTGAGAAGCTTAGATGTCCAAGATTAAGGTATCAGAGGATTGGGGTCCTCTTTTTCATTCAAAGATGGTGCATTCAGCCATGTCTTTGCATGGTAGAATTGTCAGGCAAGCTGTTTGAGTTCTTTTCCAAGAAAAGACTTAACCACTCACAAAAGTTCTCTTAATACCATAAGTCAAGGTTAGAGTTGAACATGAGATTTTAATGGGACACTTTCAGATGAAGCATTTGGAAAGGTGTTCTAAAACCCTTTTGTGAGGAGACCCACAGAAGCCCCTACCTATCCTTCTGGGCTCCTCTATGCTCTTCCCTGCATGTCCTGGCCTCTGTTCACCCTTGTAAAAGCTCACAGACTCTTAAGGTGCTTTTCCTTCAAGGCTCTGCTCAAAGGCCTGCTCTCCCCTCACAACTCTCCCTAAAACCCAGTTGTTCAGACCTTCGTTCTGTCACTCACCCCTATCCCTCTGCCTCTGAGTTCTCTGTTCACTTGTCTTCTCCCTGGTAAATTCTGATGATAGAAGCCATATCTCTCTACCAAGACCCTTACTTAGCAAAGCCAGGTGAGCCTAGGGTGAGAGCACACTTGGTAGAGGTGACAATCTAGGAGACCTGAAGGCAGAGTTAAATTAGCTGGACAGAGGATATAATAAACAGCACATTCAGGTAAGGGAGCAGCGCATTCAAGAGTCAGAGAACCATGGCGAAGGTGTGTGAGACGGGAGAAAGGTCAGGTTGAGCAAAGGTGGGGAAGGGGAAGCTGGGGTTAGAAAGGAAGTGGATGTCTGTTATGAAGAACTTCCTGTTCTATAGGAAAGGCTTCCCACTTGACTCAGCAACCACTGGAGGTTGGCTGTGCTCAAATCCTCTGACAACAGTGTAGACGGCAGACTAGAAAGGGCGAAAGGTGATGACGGCCTAGTCAGGAAGAGAAGAAGAAAGCCGTGGATGGATTCCAGGTGTATGTCTGGCTTAGCTAGTTAATTGATGGGAAGAGAGTTGAGAAAGAGGAAGGAGTTGAGGTTTCCTTCCTGGCTTCCGTTCCTGTTGTCTGCTCATGAGGTGGAGATCTGGACAGTGGTTGGTGGTGCTGAACACTGAGATGAGGAAAAGAGGAGGACACTGGGTTTTGAGGTGGAGAAAATAGGGGGACTTCGGCCCGGCCCCGAGCACCATAAGTTGGAGTGTCTGTTAGTTGACTGGGGCAGTTAGATATGCATGTCTGGAGTTCAGGAGACAGATCCAGGCTAGAGATAAAAAGTTCTTATGTAATGATCATGTTTCTGGGCACCAATTTCTTCCTAAGGGCATGTAACTCTTTTTTTCATAATGGAAGCCATCTGGAAACCATCTCAAGCCTCAGCCATATTTTGCCCACATACATTGTATTCATTTTTTTCTCCAGATAGCCAGATGGCCAACAATATCACAAACTCCCTGAGGGCATGTCCCTCAGATCACACTCCCAGATAGGAATCCAACCCAGTCTTCCTCCGTCCAAGGCTGAGCCTCTTTGGAGCAGAGCTTGGGCCAAAGCCTTCGCCCTGTTCCCAGTTCCCAGAGGGACTTGCACATGTGCACCTGCCTCGGGGAGGGTCTGAGTGACAGTCTGTCCTACTTCCCTCCACAGCCCAAGCCTCAGAATGCAGTCACCATCGCTGTGTCCTCCAGAGCCTTGTTCCGCATGGAAGAGGAGCAGAGGATCTACACAGAGCAGGGTGTGGAGGAGTACGTTCGCTACCAGCTGGAACACGAGAATGAACCCTTCAGCCCCGGGCCAGCCTTCCCATTTGTGAAGGTGAGAGGGCAGCTCCCACCACAGCTCGCATGGTGTCTTTCTGAGTATCTGAGTAAGAAGGGGATCTGTCTGACAGAGGCAACCCACAGGGGCACAGCTCAGGTAGGAGACTGAGCCTTTGTGGGACGAAGTGGCCACCCTCATCCAGACTGTTGCAGTCCCATGCTGGCTAACCAGCTTGAGGAGTGGTCCCCCTGTCACCCAGCTTTGGTGAGGTGCTCTGAGCAGCGAACAGCCCTCACAGTGGTGGAAAAGGGCATTAAAGGGTTCCCTTGTGCTCAGCTCTCATCCTAAACCAAGCCTGACCCCCAGTCTCCCCTGTCCTTTCTCATTTGGATCCCTGGCCACCAACTCCATTCCATGCATCAGTCCCTGAGGGTCTAAACTGGAGGGTACTTTTTCCCTTCCAGGCCCTGGAGGCTGTGAACAAGCGACTTCGGGAGCTGTACCCTGAAAGCGAGGATGTGTTTGACATTGTCCTCATGACCAATAACCATGCGCAAGTGGGAGTCCGTCTCATCAACAGTATCAACCATTATGGTGAGTGTAAGGGATGCCCTTACCATACTCCCTGGGAGCAGGCCACATCTCTGCAGGGTCAGTCTGTACTGACTGCCACCCTACAGAATGATGTGCTGGTAACCTGCCATTTTATTTTATTTTACTCTATTCTATTTTTAACCTAGTCTTTTAAAACAAACAGGGATGGGGTTGTAATTCAACTGGAAAGTCCTGGGGTTCAGTCTCCCAACACTATAAAAATTAGGCATAGTGGCAAATGCATGTAATCCCAGCACTCAGGAGGTAGAAGCAGGAGGATCAGGAACTCAAGGTCAGTTCAAGGCTAGCCTGGGGTATAGAAGACCCTGTCTCAAAACAAACAAGAAGCTAGGGATGTGGCATAGTTGGTAGAGTGATTGCTTGGTGCTCGGGAAGCCCTGGGTTGGATGCCCAGCAACACATAAACAAACAAAAAATGGGCATAGTAGCACATAAACCTGTAATCCCAGCACTTGGGAAGTAGAGGCAGGAAGATCGGAAGTTGATGTTGATACATAGTGAGTTTGAGGTCAACCTGGGCTATTTGAGACCCTGTCTCAAAAAATAGTAATAATAAGCCAGGCGTGGGTGCACACCTTTAATCCCAGCATGCACGAGGCAGAGGCAAGCAGATCTCTGTGAGATGAGGGCTAGGTCTACATAGTGAGTTCCAGGCCAACTGGGGCTACCCTATCTCAATAAAAATAGTAATAATAAATAGTAGAAAGAACAAGATTGTAAAAAACAAACAAAACTGATTTGAAATGCTGCCAGTTATCACGGTATAAATATGCCTTCCAGCCAGTCATGGTTGGAATATAACTGGCTCATAAAATTCCTGAATGTTTAATTGTTGGCTCTTACAAACTGGCACAAGACAGCTACAGCCCACACTGAACAGGCCACACTCCCCATGTAACTGCACAGGCTGTTGACTGCCTTTGTACCTCAGTTTTTCCACCTGTAAAGAAGCTAACAGGTCTCATGAGCTAATGGAGAACCAAGGGCAGTTGTCAGAGTGAAAGGGCTCTTTTTCTTTTCTCTTTTTTTTTCTTTTTGGTCCAAAATACTATGATTTCCCAAAGCCAGTTTCCAAGAAAGAAAAGTACTTCTTTTTAGATTCTAGGATGTCTCAGAATCATAGAGCAGGAAGTTAAATAAGACCCAGAAGGGCCGGACTCCAAGTCCTGGAACTCCCTCTTGGGTTTCTCTTCTCTCTGGGCCATATGAGCCCTTGCACTTCCCTAGCAAGTGTTTCCCTTTGTCCCATCCCCTTTCAGTCTGTCTGTCTTTCTCTCCTTCTAAACTAGATTTTTTTTTTTTTTCTTATTCTGGTTTATAGTCACAAAAGCAGAGAAATCCAGTTTGGGGAGAGACACAAAACAACAAAAACAAACAAACAATAAAACAAACAAAAATATATATCTTTATAGTTTTACAAGATCTGTTTCAAGCAACCAGCAGTCCAGTTAGGTGTTTATTTTATTTATTTATTTTTGATACAGGATCTTAATATGTAGCTCAGGCTGGCCTCAAACTTGAGAACCTCCTACCCTAATGATACTCAGTACTGGAATTACAGACATGGGCTACCATTCATTACTTTTAAAAATATTTAATTATTTTAAAAATTTGTATGTATTTGTGGGTGTCTGTGTGAGTGAATGCCACATATGTGCTCATGCCCGTGGAGGCCAGAGGAGGGTGTTAGATCCCTCAGAGGTGGAGTTAACAAGGAGATTGTGAGCCTCCTGACTTTGGTCCTGGTAACCCAAGTCAGGTCCTTTGGAAGAGCAGCAAGTACTCTTAACTGATGAGAAATCTCTCCAAAACAAAAAATAAATATTTTATTTTGCCAGGTGTGGTGGTGCAAACAATTAACCGCAGCACTGAGGAGGTAGTCAGGTAGATCTCTGTGAGAGCAAGGCTAGCCTGGTCAATATAGCAAGTTCCAGGCCAGCTGGGGCTGAAGGGAGACCCTATTTCAAAAGAAAAGAAAAGAAAAGAAAAGAAAAGAAAAGAAAAGAAAAGAGAGGAG